TGGTTTGCCTTCCAAGTAACACGTAAGGGACACACTGCTTCTCTCTACCACTGTTTTATTTGTTGGAGGAACCAATATCTTTGGAGGATCTGAAGAGAAACAAATTCTTTGATGGTTATTGAATAGAAATAAACGTTGACTCCATCGTGATTAAAGAAAAGTTTAAAAGGTTTAGCACGAGGCGTAACGTATAAGACTTCTTAAAATCAAATCGAAGGTATTGTGAATAAATGTGGCGATAGGCGTTTGTCAACCACTCACTGATTGATTCAGAAAGCAAACCACCATTARCGTACCATTCAGTCTAAGAACTTTCATTAAAATATTTACTTACAATTGACAGTCAATAGAGCAGCAKTTGAAATCTGTTCATCGAGGGAGTTTTTTACYMTGCAACTGTAWWTACCCTCRTCTGTTCTMTTCAGGTCATTGATCGTAAGATTAACAACCGTCCTGTCGTGTGTAGTGGGTTGAGGACTGACGTTCATCCTACTCGTCTCTAGAGTCAATGGTTTGTAGTTTATAAGCCAGGTTACTATGGGAGCAGGTTTGCCTTCCACTTCACATGTAAATTTGACCGAATCTCCTTCATTCTTGGACTTGGGTTGTGGATTCACGAATATATCTACGCCAACTGAAAGAAAGTAAAGGCTATTTTTACCTCTATTATATCATAATGATCAATTCGCACATCCMTGGCTGATAGACTTAATCGACATGAAACCAGGCTAACCATGTGCCGTATCAAGCATTGTAAAGAGAAAAGCCCTGTCTTTGCTTTCAGCTCTTTTGATTCAATTTTGTTTAGACTGACGAATTTCCCGGCTTGCTAAGCTTTCTTTTCTTGCGCGTTGCTTACGTCACAAGGTCAACCTCATCAACCTTCCTATCAAACCGAATTGATACATCCTTGATATGGCGATCACATTAATATAGATCCCTGATTAAACATTTCACTAACAGACCCGGATTATACATCTAGTTTGCGCCTACTGTCAGGACCACCGCTAGCGTTACTGAAAAACCCTGTGTCCTAATAGTGCTAGCACCAACTCCATCTTTTCTGAGGAACTGTGGAGAAACTCTGCGTCCARTTACCTGAACCACGTCTCCAGTTGTTTACTCGGCATTGTATAAAAGCAATTCCTACAGATAAACTTACATAACACTTTCAAGAAGGCAGCGACTTGTGAAGTTGCCGTCCCAATCTTGTTCTGTGCTCTGCATGTGTAGTTTCCCTGGTCAGATCTGTGTAAATCGGTTATTGTCAATGAAGCCGTGCCTTTCTCCACTGATGTTGTGCCACTTACATGATATTTCTTACCATCGGGAACTATATCTGTGTTATTAAACATCCATGTAACATTTGCTAATGGTTTGCCTTCTAAGGTACAGTTGAACGTCATGCTATGGTTCTCATGCTTGGTTTYATTCTGGGGTGAAATGCTGAATATTCTCGGTGGATCTGAAGAAAATCGATTACACAAATATTAATAAGAACTAAGAAATTTTCTGCATAACGGCGCGGACTTTTTAAAGCATTGGTGGATCTGGCGTAAAGAAGAATGAATACGTTAATAGAAATACTTTACACTGTATATTGTAAAAAAATAAATAAATAAAAAAATCCAGAAAAGCGTCTATCTGGATCTTTTAGGATACATCAACCTCATGAATAGAAAAAGGAGTAACAATCTCGTACCCAGGGCCCACGTTCCTCTTGGTCAGTACCGAGAAACGTTTCGTTYCCTTGAGGTTACTATTTACCGTCATCATAGGGGCCGGAAAACGTTTACTTTTACTCTTTCTTGCCCTTTTACGTTTTTAGACGAAGCGCAATTGACAATAAAGTTTCACGAGAAAAAAAAAAAAAATGCATTGGTGCCCTATTACACAACAACAACTTCTTAGCAAAACCAAATATTTTCCGCACAGGAGGAAACTTACAGTTGACGGTCAACTTGGCAGACTCTGAAATAACGGCGGCACCAACACCGTTATAAGCAACACAAACGTACCACCCCTCGTCAGACCTGTTCACATTAGGAATGGTCATGGTTGCAGTAGAGTTTCCGTAGCTCCAAGGGTGCGCTGTCGATATCCTGCTGTCACCGTCAACATCGACATTAGTTCCATTTTTCTTCCAAGTCACGTCTGGTTGTGGTTTTCCTTCCATCAAGCAGCTAAAAGTAACACTGTTCGTTTCGTTGGTCGTGAGGGCCAGTGGTGGAGCAAAGATAACAGGTGCATCTGGAACATTTAATAAAATGCTGCGTTATAAGCTGTATACATGGCATACCTTACTGCTTTGCAAATATTGCCACCGTTGTGAAATTGAAGTACTCACAATTCACTGTCAGCTGTGCCTCTTGTGACGTAGCAGGACCTCCAACCGTGTTGTTAACTTGACACTTGTATCTGCCTTCGTCTTTTCTTAGGTTAGTGATGGTCAGAGATGATTCCGTCAATGAAGCATTTCCTGAACGTACGATTCCTATTCTCGAGTCTGAGGAATCGCTTAGTAAGGTGTCGTTCATATACCACACTGCATCGGCAACTGGTTTACCTTCATAGCGACAGCTCAACGTCACATTCTGTCTTTCATTCCTTATCTTGGGGAAAGGATCCATCAGAATCTTTGGCTGAACTGCAAAATTAATTTGAATTAAAAAAGAAAAATTCAGCAAAACACTGAATAACAAAGTTAACTAAGTCAGTTGTATGTTTAACTAAATAATAGCAAAAAGAACAGATTCGTTATAAACATAACGTAACAAATTAAGATGCATAATATTTATAAGACTAATCTGGACTGCATAGAATTGAAATCTAAACTTACAGTTAACAGTAAGATATGCTTGATTAGAAGTCACCGATGATACGTTGTTAGTAGCATTGCAAGCATAAAAACCCTCATCATTCCTTGTAAGGTTAGTTATTATCAGGCTGTTTGAGCCAGGATCTTGGGTAAGTCTTGGGTTGCCTGATATATTGTTGAGGAGTAGACCATCTTTATACCACTGAACAGTTGGAGTTGGATTTCCAGTCACGACACAAACAAGAGTAGCATTCTGGCCTTCGTGTGATGTTGTGTTGGAGGGATTGGTTGTGATTGAAGAATTTGGAGCTGAAAATACACCGACATTTTTTTTYCGTTTCGTTTAATATAATGTTTGGCCGGGATTCTTTACTTTGTTTAGAAAATTCTCGTCACCGCATTAGCATATGGCATGGAAAAACCTTCATAACTTCAAGAAGCTGCACTCAAACTATGAATTTTTTTCAGGTTATTCGACATCTTACCCCATGTAGAATCAATACTGTAAATATTGTCAGAAGGGTGATAGGCACTTTAAGTTTACACTTGAATTCCTCAAGATAATTGCATAAAAACAATTATTCTTTTAATGTCAAATAAACTTGTATTATATTTGCGATTTTGATGGGAAAAGTGACAAGACTTTACAAAAAAGAGGCCGATTTTCAGTTTCTATTGATATGAGCCTCAATCCAGCCTAACAATGCCTCTTGTTTTAGTAGGGTTTTCTACGCATGGATTGGTTGCTTTTCAGTCGTCCGTGAAGCGTCATGTTGTCAATAGAATCTCCAAGCAATTATTATTCGAAAGTCAAAATAAAAATATACCTCGAGTCAAATTTTCCCAGAATGTTTATTGATCGTTGAACTGAACTAACTTTTACCATCTGGACATGTTCACCATTACAAATGTTAGACTACTTAATTGAATGACTTCACATCGTAGAATTTTGTTTTGGTATAGTAGTAGTCACTGAAGTCAACTTTAAATGTTTTAAAAACGATAAATAATATAACATTTACATGACTTGCTCAATATTATTTTACAACGCTTTGATCGAGAATTAAATCCGTTAACATTTCCCCATTTTTAAAAACTTTGAAAAACTTTCATAACTTGACAAAACATCTTAAAGAATATTATAAATAATTAAATAAGTTGGCTATTTTGAATAACAAATCATGGAATAGCTAAAATTGAAGGCAAAGAAGAAGAAAAATAAACAATTACCCATATCAAATCACATGGAATTAGTAATATAACGAGAGTATTTGTTTTGGCAATGAAGAATATTCGATATATCAAGATATGAATCGTCTTACAAGTTGTTGGATTATTTATCGGATATCAATAATAATTGACCAGAGGTTCAGTTTGTAACAAGTTGTATAGTCTAGTCAAGTAAAATGATATTCTGGTGCTGTATTGACATCTTAACATATACGTTTTCCATAGGAAGCTTTCTTTCGCGATGCATGTATTTACTAGAACATTCTTTCTCACTCAGTCTACTACTTACCTTGTTCGCTGACATGAAATGATAACGCTAAAAGAATAACGACAAACCGTAGCATGATCGTAGTACTTTACAGACTTGACTTTACACACGCGTAGAGTTTGTTTGTCCGTTCAAAAACTTCATGATTTCATCAGAACTTCGTGAAAAAAGTTTATAAAAGAGTAAATCGTCACGCTACTTGCAGCCTTCCTGTTGTGCGTGACGTAAATCAGTTTTCTCTAGAGATCCCTTGGGTACTCTGCTTACCGTGCGCACGCTCTAGTTGGTTGAATATGTACCAGCATATGTTAAGTTGGACGACAAAAAGATTTAAAGTGTATATCAAGGAAAATTTTTTTCTTTCAAAATCACTTAAATGTGAATAGTGTAGTAGTATTGTTGCAGTATTTTTGTATGTAACATTTTCTTTTAGGAGATATAAGCATCTGAAATATCAATATGCAAATAAGATGACATAACTTCAAGACTAATTTATTATACAAAAATGCTTTCGTGGAAAGTACTGCTGTTTTTTCATTTKCAAATCATCCTTATGACTGAAATATATGGCTTTGTACACTTTTAAGTTATTGAACTTAAGAATACACGTAAATTACACTTCAAAATGTAACTTATTCTTGAATTTACGTCATCTCATTTGCATATTGATATTTCGGATATTTTCGGAGTTAATTTAACTGAAACTCATCTTAAAAACTTTATTTTCCAAGCGCAAATTCACATGCTCGTTGAACATCGTCCGCCATTTTGAATTTACCTAGTCTGTCATAATATGCATGTGCGAGAAACCCAGAATCTGGGTCTTCCGGTTTGGAGTTTTCCAGAGCCCAATTATTTCGTCGAGCATGCGCAGTAAGAATGACAGGGGTCTGGGGTCAAGAGTAATATGACACGTCACAATGCTTTCACAAGGCTTAATAACTCAACTCCTAAATTCCAATTGGAATTACAGTGGATGAATAGCTACTCTGTAGAAATGCCACTGTTAAATCCCATTTATTTTATTTATTTATGTATTAACTTAAGCGCATGCGCTAAATCTACTATTTATTAAAATACGATAAAGCTTAAAAATCAAAGGCCGACGAGAACCCAGGATTGAACAATGGGCTAAAACAGGCATTCAAGCCTGCTGTCAACACACTAACTAGTTTGAACGATACATCAATTATATTGTGTTTAGGCTGTTACTTGGTTTTTAAAATAGCGTTCATCTAATATCTGTATACAGCATAGTGTGAGGAACCAATGACATTTCCATAAGAATTTCATTAGTTTTCTTTAACTGTCAAGATTTATCAAGTGAGGATGACCCTAAGCATCTGAGGTTTGTGGATTGGTTAAATCAATACCGGAGAGAAGTGACAACTGTTCGTCTAGTGCGGTGATAAGATGTTCTATGGTTGGACGTTTTCGAGGATTAGACTCCCAACAGCTCATCATCACAGCATACCTGGATTGTGAAATACATTCTCAATTCTGGTACACAGAACCCATCGGTTATGGGATAACCGATTTCTATCGACTTGCTAACGATTAGGCGCGTAGTTTTTTGAGGATAACACTCAATAGCAGCAATTTGTCGGTTATGAAAATTTGAGTTTTGATCGAAGATCTGTGAGAGTTATGACGTAATGTACTTACATTTGATCGGAGCATCCGATTGGTTGGTTAAGCCTCGTGCCCTTTTTAAGAGACTTGAGTAGTTCTTTGACTGACAATCCAGAGAATGGCATTTTACCTGTGAACAAGTATTGAACAACCAATCTTAAAGGAGTCTTGTTTTTAAAAGAAAAAAGAAGCACCCATTGTTCAAGCAAAATCATATTGTGAATCAGGGAATCAAGGGTAGTTAAGGGGTAGTACACTCGCCTCTCATGAACTCTGAGGTCTAGGGTTTGATTCCTGGTCTTGGCATCACATGTGAATAAAATCTAACGTAACTCGCTAAATTCCAATTTGATCTGTGAGGATTTGTGAGTTAACCGTGCCCTAACGGCTTTGATCAGACCAACGGTTATTTCAGGGTGTTGGCAAAATTTGAAGGATTATTTGTAAATCACTAAAGTTCAATTTCATGTTATGTAAGACGACAAAAGGCAATTAGGGCTGTAGCTCTCTCTTCCTTCTTCCGTCTTACTAAAATACTTTGACTCTCTCTTTAAGGAATCTTGCATGTGCATCTTGTATGTCTTATCGCCTTGTCATAACCATAAAATACCAACCTCCAGTTTGGATTTCCCATAGCAAAACTCCAAACGACCATCTGGAAAAACATGATTGATTAAATATGTCATTTTAGTTCTCGTGTGGAATGAATGGCATTAATGACTGAGCATAGACGACAGCTTTCAGCTGATTGATATACGAAAATATATTAAAGCAATGTTCTGATTTGGATTTAAAACAAAAACGGATATAATACAAATGAAAATGTATAACAAGTAAAAAGAGTTGGGATGATATTTACATGTCACTCTCCTTGGTAGCTACCAACGTCTCGATAGCTTCGATTGACATCCACCTTGCAGGTAGTTTTTTCTATGAAATAATGACTCAATGTTGGACAGAAACAAGTACTGAATGCTTATATATATATATATATATATATAAATGTCAATATGACAGAAATACAGTACGCACAATGGTGCACACATGTATCAAGTGCAATACCATGTTTGATAACTGCTGGTAGTATCCTCTTTCATACACATCTCTTGCCAATCCAAAGTCTGACAACTTAGCAGTCATGTTGGTGCCAAGCAGTACATTCCTTGCCGCCAGATCCCGATGAACGCACTACAAACACGACAGTAATATTATTAAACCTTTATCTTCAGAGACAAATAATCTGTAGAAGAATGATTGATTGGAGCTGTGCACAAATTACCTTGTGACGCGCAAGATGTTTCATTCCTCTAGCAACATCAACTCCAATTCTAAGTTTAATATCTTCAGACAACGTACACATCTTGTCTTTATAGTGTTTGGAATACACTTGGTTCTTATGAAGAAAGTGTAAAAGGCTTCCGTATTCTGCTAGTTCAACAACTACGTACAGATGACCTGATAAAACAGTTTGACAATAGAATTGTGAGTAAAGAGAAACAAAATGTTCAATATCGATATACAAAGCCTTAGCCAAGAACTAGAGATATTTACCTCCTTGTGTGCAGGCACCAATGAGATGAATAATGTTGGGATGTTCCTCTATCAAACTCATTATATCCAGTTCGTTCATCAAATCCATGTAATCTGTATTAGAGGCATTTGCTGGTAAAAAAAAAAAAAAAAAAATTCATCAAATCCATGTAATCTGTATTAGAGGCATTTGCTGGTAAAAAAAAAACGTCTTAGATCAGTACTCTCCATGCCTATGGGCTATCGTAATTAAAGTTAAAACCTTCTAATAGTCTATCACAATTCCTGCGCTCTGATTGGCTGAGCTACTACATGTCTTGTAGTGATAGATCACTAGTAGTGAAAAGTGCCGGTTTTGAAAACGAAAACAAATTCAGCTAAAAAACAACTCACGTTTTCTACTTAATTATTTGTATTCAATTACTTGACCATTAGTAGGTTTAACCTAAAACAATTAGACCATTTGGGCTTTGAGTGTAATTGCTATCTGAAATACACCAACTTCAATACCTTTGGGTATCTTTACGGTACAATGGTATTTTTATTGTTTAATGTACCCTCTACATATAACATGATGTATGGTATCATACACCACAGTGTGACGTCATTTCATATATAATTGTCTCGATACAGCGTCAAAATCGTCAATAGTCCATACCTTTGAGCATCTTTATAGCGCAGTGCTTTTCATCCTGTTTAAGGTATCCTCTAGTCACCAGGCCAAACTGACCAGATCCCAGTTCTTTTCCGATCATGATCTGTTCATAKGGTATCTCTCTAAAACTTGAAGCCGGTAACTGTGTCATGTCCAAGGCATCATTGTCAAATCCCTGGACTGGTAAAACGAAATCGTCGTACTGTGAATTAAACATAGTTAGATTATAACCAAATTTAATTTATGAGGCAGCTCGATAGAAGCGCATGCAATCGCGCTTCCCATATTCTGCTAATAACTAAATCTCTATCAGAAATGAATGCCCGAGTTAGACACGGTGTTCATATTCTACTTACAGTCCGTCCAGAAAAGCTGTTTCGCCTTTTAACCGGTCTTSTTCTTCTTCGACAACATAGACAATACCAGGTTAGTAAAAGAATAAACAGGGCTACTGCTATACAAACTATTAACCATTTGTAAGTATTCCAGATGTGTTCTAGAAGACCTTCTCCCTTCGTTTTCAACTCCAGCGGCTTATCTGTGGGTGGTCCTTTTCCTATTTCATTAACTGCTACCATCCTCACTAAGTAATTTGTCTCTTGTTTCAGATCGTTGATTACATAGTCATTGACATCTTGCCCGTGTATAGGATTATTAATCCATTCTTTACCGAACTCTTTGTATTGTACTTCGTAACCCGTAACACCGTACGACTGATGCTGTTCAGGTTTATTCCAAGTAATGGAAATCTGTTTCACATTGACTTCACCGGCCTTTAGATTTCGAGGTGATGGGGGTGGCACTAGGTAATATTACAATGTTACAACCGTGAGTCATGCAAYACGCATCATTCAACTCTAAAGTAGTGATTACTTACTATACCAACTTACCATACGAAACGAAAGAGTCTGGATCGAACTTAAGTGCACTAAAAACAGCATTTTTAAATCCCTCGATAGCAGTATTGGTGAGGTTTTGCTTGATGTCGAGGGGAGGTTTATTACTGGGTTTGTCAACTTTTAGCTCGAAGACAACTCGAAAACGTGAGCTTACTCCAACAGTGGAATTTCTAAGAGCGAGAAATGAAAGTTATTAAGAAACTCTACTTACCATAATGGCGATGGTGGTGATGATCAGTGATGATGGTGATGGTGGTGATGATCAGTGATGATGATGATGGTGGTGATGATCAATGATGATGATGATGGTGGTGATGATCAGTGATGGTGGTGATGGTGGTAATGATCAGTGATGATGGTGATGGTTGTAATGATCAGTGATGATGGTGATGGTGGTGATGATCAGTGATGATGGTGATGATGATCAGTGATGATGGTGATGGTGGTGATGAACAGTGATGATGGTGATGATCAGTGATGATGGTGATGGTGGTGATGATGGTGATGATGGTGATGGTGGTGATGATCAGTGATGATGGTGATGGTGGGAATGATCATTGATTGTGGTAATGATCAATGATGATGGTGGTGGTGGTGGTGGTAATGATCAGTGATGGTGGTGATGGTGGTGATGATGGTGATGATCAGTGATGATGGTGATGGTGGTGATGATCAGTGATGACGGTGTTGGTGGTAATGATTAGTGATGATGGTGATGGTGCACACACTTTCAATATCAAAGATTAACATTCTTATTATCCGTAGTGAACAAGAAAGTGCCACTGTAAACATGCATGCCATATTTCATTAAAGGTATGCGGAAGATAACATGGACACTTACGAAAACCCCATCACATTTACTTYCTTGAACCCGTTAATGTCGTTGTAAATACTTGAAATCTGTAAAAACGAAATTATTAGTGCTCTCCATGTGTACTAATAGCGCATGACTGTAAAGATCAAGCAGGATTGAAAATTAGCTTGTTTCCTATTTACTGACAAACCTCGTTTTTTAAAGTGTTGGATAAGTTCTGGAACTGCAAAGACGACTTGTTGCTGAGCTCAGCTGAGTATTTTCTGTTTTTGATCGTGATTCCCATATCAACTTCCACTGGAACTGTTACGAAAATTAAGAAAAGAAAAAAGATTGTAGCAGCAAGTTGTTTAGTACACTGAACACTGACTGCCAAACACAGTTCGGAGAATTTAAAAACAATACCAACAACACATGCACTCTACTAAGGTCAGTGTTAGAATGTTTTCCCGTTTCAGAATTATTCTCATTCTCATCAATATTCTTTGCTCGATTCTCATTCTCATCTATATTCTTTGCCCGATTCTCATTCATAGTAAAGAATCTTTTTAAGCAAAGAAACAATACGCAAGCGAATGACMTGTGATGTCAAATGGGAAAGAATGGATTGATCTAAAGATAAGACTGCATCCACAGCAAACCCTTCTTTGATTTTCCAGTCCAAATTCGCCATACTATGACTAACAGAATGTTAATGATTAAYTGTCTACCATTAAAAAAAATTATTATTGTACATCAGGATCCATGAATATAATGTAATTATGTTTTTGTCYTAGCTGACTTGATGTTCATCTAATAGATCAAAAACGAGTGCRAGTGTTTCATCGGGGTTCCAAAAACCTAGAAGCCGATGAAAGCACGAGGCTTAAAAGCTAAACACATAAAAGTTTCAAAACTTCCTTGTAGTAGTGTAGTGCATGGCAAGGAAAGAGTTAAAACGGTATAGTTAGTAAGGGGACCCCCGTTCGATTCTTGCATACATTCATAAATATTTTAAGCAATTTAATTTTTCACTCTATTTACAAGTCTAAAAAAATTCTAACTTCGTTATTATAAGGTATAGGTGTAAAAATGCAAATTAAAATTTCACATGGATCTTCTTCTGCACTCTGATTGGCTATCAGAGGTGTCTTGATCAGTGTTTGATCCAGTATCAAGACTCCTCCACCACCTGACCAAATACGAAGTTCTTATTCGTGGTTGCTTACGAAATTTTCATGTAATGAGTTTGAGAATAGTAWCTACGATATTTAGATCTTTATGCCTTGGTGTCTTGAGATCCAAGCAGRTACTGATATACGAGGAATGTCAATGGTATGTCATATGTTCTTACCTTTGACAACAAGAGTCATCTGTGTACTAATAGATCTCATGTTACTGCTTGCAAAACAGGTGTAAACTCCTGAACCCTTCGCCTGTACATTGTTGAGTGTCAGTTCTGCAATGGTATTACTACCTTCACGTTTGGTGTTGCTGCCTGGAATGTTGCCTTGGCCGTCTCTGTACCAGGTGATGGTWGATGGTACACCCGACACCACACATACCAAAATCGAACTTTGACCCTCAGTTACTGTGAAGTTGGCTTCAGGATTAACGAAAGCAATGTCAAAAAGAATAGCTAATTGTAGAGTACCAGGTAACGACACCACTGTATTAAGTGTATTATTCGCCGTACACTTATACGTGCCTTCGTCATCCCAACCAAGATTTCTGATGSTCAACGTAGAGTACACTCTCCCCACACTACTCAGCTTAGTGATATTTATTYTACCATCCTGCACTAACGTCCTTCCTTCTTTCTTCCACGTGATGTCAGGCACAGGGTTCCCGTCTACCCCACACGACATCACCATTGAATCTCCTTGGCTCTTCGTCANTAACGTCCTTCCTTCTTTCTTCCACGTGATGTCAGGCACAGGGTTCCCGTCTACCCCACACGACATCACCATTGAATCTCCTTGGCTCTTCGTCAGGTTTACTGGATTTTGGAAGATAACTGGTGAATCTACAACGATTCAAAAAGAGGTGCAAAAACATTTGTAAGTGAACAGTGACCAAGGGAAATTGAGGGACTGCTTACAGACTAATGAGAACCACGTTAGTTGTACTAATGTTTAATACGCGATAATTACTTACASTACACTGCTAAAAGAGCAGGCGTTGACGTCCGTTCATCAAGGACGTTGTTAACCCTGCAATGGTAACTACCCTCGTCTGTTCTCTTTAGGTCATTGATCGTCAGATAAACAGCCGTCCTGTCGTGTGTAGTGGGTTGAGTGACGTTCATCCTACTCGTCTCTAGAGTCAATGGGTTGTCGTTTATAAGCCAGGTTACGTTAGGAGCAGGTTTGCCCTCCACTTCACATGTAAATGTGACCGATTCTCCTTCAATCTTGGACTTGGGTCGTGGATTCACGAATATGGTTACGCCGTCTGCAAGAATAATGTTCAACATGTCTAGAACCTGTTTTACACATCAAAATATGGATGGCTGCTTCTTACTTACAGTCGACTGTCAGCAATGCTCCAGATGAGGTATCATTTCCGACATCATTCACTGCCTGACAGGAATAGTAGCCCTCGTCCGTACGGCTCACATTGGTAATACTAATCGAAGCACTTGTTTTATTGACTGAGGAGGGTAGTGTTACAGATATTCTATCACCATTAGCAGCTATTATTGGGTGACCATCTTTCAACAAGGTTACATTAGATACTGGTTTGCCTTCCAAGTAACACGTAAGGGATACATTGCTTCTCTCAACTACTGTCTTACTTGTTGGAGGGACTAAAATTTTTGGAGGATCTAAAAGAAAGCAATATTGAGATAACGTCAAGATTTAGGTACCCAGAACATAAAAATGCAAATTTTACGAATGAATACTTACAG